ATATTTGGAAAAAGATGAGTGGTTCCTATAGAACAAAAACTCCCTAGCAGAAAGGAATGGAGCTTGGTGGCTGTGAAATAGACTGTATGTTCCAGCTGAAGCTAGGAAAGTGGTGTTGGAAAGGGGCCACGACAACAAAACTGCTGGACATTCTGGGTTTGTGAAAACCCTCCATCTCCTCTGGAAACAATTTTGGTGGCCTGCAATCAGAAAAGATGTGGCCGAATACATAGCTAGTTGCCCTACTTGTGTTATGGCAAAGAAGTAGGGGGGAAAACCAAGGGGCTTGTTACAACCTGTGGCAAACCCAACCAAACCCTGGAAAGAGATTGCTATGGACTTTATTGTAGATCTCCCCAAAAGCAAAAAGCGGACCATCGTCTGGACAGTTACGGACCTGTTTTCAAAACAAACTCATTTCACAGCATGCGTGGCAATACCATCAGTGACCCAATTAGCGAAAATGTTTACTCAACATATATATCACCTACACAGAGTCGCCGATCGAATAATCAGTGATCGCGGAATTCAGTTTACCTCAAAATCCTGGCGAACATTCATGAAACTCATTGGAGCCAAGCAGGGTCTGAGTTCGAGTTATCATCCTCAGACGGATGGGGCGAGTGAACGGCGGAATGCTGGTTTAGATCAGTATTTAAGATGTTTTGTAAATCATCAACAAGATAATTGGGTTGATCTGTTGCCTTTTGCAGAAGTGGCTTATAATAATGCCATACACAATAGGATTGGGTTTATCCCTTTTAAAGTAGCCACAGGTCAAGACTTCGTACCAATTCCTGAACTTCCTTGTGAGAGGACTGGCATATCGTTGGCAGACGAGTGGGTTAAGCAAATGAAAGACCTGTGGCCAACTATAGAAAAGGCACTGGAGAAAGCGAGAGAAAGCTAAAAAAATATGCAGACCGGAAGAGGGCGCCTGAAAAGGAATGGAAAGTAGGTGACAAAGTATTTATTTCAACTAAACACTTGAAATCATTACAACCATCAAAGAAACTGGGACCTAAATACCTAGGACCTTTTGAAATTGAAACAGTGATTAACCCAGTGACTTTTCCCCTCAAACTGCCCAAATCATTAAGGAGGATTAATTCCGTGTTTCACTGTAACTTGCTGAAGCCTTATAAAGAATCAACATGGTGGCATGTGGCTCCACCAGTCTTAGAACCTATAATGATAGAAGGCGAGCAACATTTTGAAATAAGGGAAATATTAGATGTCAGGAAATATAAAGGCGAAATACAATTTCTAGTCCAATGGAAACATTTTCCAAAGTCTTTCTCTGAACAGGTAGCTAGGAAGCATATGAAAGCCCCAAACTTGATTAGAGAATTTTATAAAAAATATCCTGATAAGCCAAAGTGAAATCATATTGTAAACAATAGTAATGTGGTATGCATGTATATGTTTCTGTTCTATTGTCTGTTTCATTGCAGGTCTTCAAGAACCAACTTTGAAGTTTTTTTTCTTTTGAGGGTCAGCATGTCAGAACCTCCAGCAATCAATCTATCAGCTCATTAGTTGTTTGCTTCGTTTCTGCCATATTTCAGGAGGGGGGAGGGGGGAACAAGGAAGGTAAAACAGTTAACACAGATGGACTGTTATCTGGCGCCAGGAATGTCCAAGGTCGTACCAACATGAGAACCAAGAACTGGCTGAGGAGAAGGGGGGTTAAGAACTGAGGGTAAAAGTAGATTGGGAATGCGCGGGCTTTTAGTTTCAGCAATGCTTTGAAGCTGCATGTACGTCTCAAAAAATGAATTTCTTTTTGAACTTGACTCAGGTTTCAAGAGATTTTTCTTCACTGGAATTTGAACATCACAGATCTGACAATACCTAAGAATTCAGAAACAAGGAGTTTAAATATTTATTTTGCAAAATCAATGGCTTCAGGTTTTAAGAATGGTTAAGTATGTTTTTCAACAGAAAAGCAGTTAATAAATATGTCGCAGACTAGCGCTCGGTAGAGCAGCCATGAAGGCCTTGGAAAAGATATTCAAAGAGCAGGATTGTGTAGATGAGAGAGAGAGAGAGAGAGAGAGAGATGTGTGTATGTATGTATGTATGTTTCTATGTGAATGTATTCAGTGTTAAGATCAGAATTATGCAGGGAATGGTTTTCCATGTGACCCTCTATGGAAATGAAAATTGCACTCTGAAGAAGCAGGATAGGAAAAATATTGATGCCTTTGAACTTTGGCATCAGAGAAGACTCCTGAGGATACCATGGACAGCCAGGAAAACAAACCGATGGGTCATTGAACAAATCAACTCAGACTTCTCACTCGAGGCACAAATGACCAGGCTCAAATTATCCTACTTTGGAGACTTTATGCGAAGACCCAGCTCTCTGGAAAAGGCTCTAACGCTGGGAAAGGTGGAAGGAAAGAGAAGAAGAGGAGGACCAGCAGCAAGATGGATGAACCTAGTTACAGTGGAGATGGGGGCACCTTTGGAAGACCTGAAAGACCAGGATAGAGACAAACTGTCATGGAGAAAACCTAGCTCTGTGGTCATTAGCAGTCAGCACTGACTTGATGGCACATAATCAAGTAAGTGAGTAAGTTCTGCACAATTTAAAAACTCATTTAATTCAGCAGAAAACATTTCAGGGATTTATTGGACTTTGAAGGATGTATAAAAGATACCCTCCTGGCTATATAATAGATTCAAAGGAACTGAAGTGCACATTATGGTCCTATTCCATTGGTAGTTTCTAACTGATTAGATCATCCTACTTTATGTGCTGGGTCCTTGGAAAGAAATTAAAATTCAAAGATGTCAATGTGCTGTAAAACTGTATTTCAGAAATTTGGATGTTATCTATTTATAAAGAACTTACATAAATACATTATTATGACCTTTATGTCAAAGAAAAGTAGTCAATTCCCAACAGCCTAAGTACCTATAGAAATGGCATGCTGTTTATCTGGACAGAGACTGTTGGCACTCCCCTTGGTTTAAACTAGTTTTAATCTAGTTCCCCAGGTTCCATGGGTTCTTTTCGGCTCTCTTAACTGTTACCCAAAAAAGGTTTTCATGTGGTTTGGTTCATAACTGCTTTCTGCACGGTCCTTGCTTAGAAAAAACTAAAATCAGCACCACACAAAGTTAAACACATACTCGATCCTTGGAAAAGCACTGCAAATCACCACAGATGAAGCTGAAGCTTAAGAGCTGAGCTTAGAGGGTGGTCAAAATGAGAAGCTTTCGAGAAAACGGCTAAGAAGACCAGCTTAGAAGAACCCCCCTTTTGGGGAAACCCCTGAGGCTAAGACTTCCTGCAAGGCCAGCTGCAACCAGCCTTTGCTCCTCCTACCTCCTCCCCACATGCACCCACAGCAACCAAGAGACATTCTGCAAGGCACCAGCAAGGGTTCAGGCCCAGGGAGCCACCCGCCTCTTGGACCAGAAGCAGCAGGCAGAACAGGCTGCTCAGCCAGGTGGGAGCATGCGGCATCACACCACGCCACGCCACACCACGCCACACCAGCTGCTTGGCTGCAAGGGCGCCTGCCTTGGTGTAGAGGCTGGTCTTCAGCACTCCCCCCTTGCCGTAGCCAAGGGGAGGGCCCCCCAGGCATGCAGGGCCCTGCCGATTAGCCAACACAAAGGGGTTGGCGCTGAAAGGGATGGGCTGAGAGTCCACCAAGCTCTGCTCCTCTGAAGGCACTGCCTGGGCACTGCCTGCTTGCCCTGTGCCCAAGGGGGAAGCATGACCCACAGGGATTTCCAGCAGGGGAAGAAGATGCCCGTCTTTTTCCATCTCACTGAGCAGAAACTGGCAAGAAGAGATGTAGATGGGAGAAATGCCCGAGAAAGATGACTCTGCTTCCAACCCTGAGAAAACCCCTGGCGAGCAACGTGTCTAGCCAGCACCAGGGCCAGGGCCGGTCCCAGCTGAGGCTACAGAGCTGAGGCCACCTTGCGTGGTGACCCAGGACATGGGGAGTGCCTTCCAGGACAGCCTGAGGAAGGATGGCCCTCCAGCACTTCTCCTGGCCAGCTCCACAAGGCCTGCCCTCCACCCTCCAGAAGTCCTGGGCCAATTCCAGGAGACGTGGAAGGGGTTGCGGGGGGGGGCAGGCACAACTCTGCATCCATTGCAGCCCTAACCCCAACCCTGCCTGGCTAGCCCCAACTTCTGCCAAAGAGCTTAGTCCCCCACGGCCACTCTGCAGTCCTGCGCCGTGCCCCCACTCTCCCCAGGAAAGCCCTCCCTTTCCCCCAGCTAGCTGCTCCTCTGGGGAGGCGAAGACTGCCCACCCCGGCACCAGAGAGAGGGACCAAGGCAAGACGTGCCCTCTGCCTGAAGGCAGACAGAAGGCGCTCCCTCCCTCCCTCCCTCCCCCCAGCCAGTCCCAAATAGGGCAGGGCTGAGAGCCAGAGGCCCCCCCTCTGCTTCCTCGCTCCAGGGGCCCAGCCCAGCGGAGGGAGCAGTCTGTGCTGCTGCCGCCAGCATGCCCTCCCACCCAGTCAAGCCTTGTCCTGCTACCAAGCAGAGCCGAAGCCATCGGCTCAGCACTGTCCACTTAAGGCAGGCCAAACCCAAAGCAAGGGGCGCTGCACATGGACCTGAGCAGGCTTCCCCTTTCTCCAGAGACCCCCCACCTGGTGCTACCCCACCACCACCGCAAGGAGCCTCCCTGTCACTCACGCAGCGGGGGCCTTTCTGGAGACGGCCGCTGTTGCTGGGCACGGCTGCCAGGGTGCGGTAGTCAAGCTGCGGGGGGTCTGCACTGCCGTCCTGGGGAAGAAAGCGGGAGGGGTCAGGAGCCGCCCCCGGGGCGCCAGTTGCCCCCGCCAGCCCTGGCTCTCGCCTCCCCTCCTCCACCAGGAGCAGCGGCGTGTCTGCTCCTTCCCCGCCACCGGCAGCAGAAGCAGAGCTGGGGGCACAGCAAGCAGTGGCAGAGAAGGGCCCCGGTCTTGGGCAGCCCCATCGATGCCTGCTTTGCCAGGGAGGGAGACGTAGCCCTTCTTCTCCCCTAGACTGCGGCCCATGGAGGAGGAGATGCAGAAAGAGCAGCAGCGCTTCATCCTGGGTAGGGGGCCAGGGATGCCACAGGCCCTTTGCCCAGCCAGCGGTGCCCGGGGGCAGCTGAAAGGATCCAGGGCAAAGGCCAGAAGGGCAGAGGCCGGCTTCCCCGACAGGATCAAAATTAGGACCCCCAGGGAGAGGGAACCAGACCTCTCCGACCCTGGCACAAATCCTCGGGGGACCCTCCCTTTACCAGTGGAGCCGTGGGGAAGGCAGCCTTTGCCCTTCACGTGGAATCTCCTGATCCACCTGCCCTGAGGAAATCCTTCAGCGCTGCTCAAACCTCGTCTGACCCTTCCAGGGCCCCACCTCTCCACGCTGGAACTTGGCTGTGGCCCTTAACCGGCTCCTGGCCATGCTCCAACCATCGGACTGTCCCCTTATTTTGCTTTTCGGTAACTGCAAAATTCCCTCCTCAATAAGTGCCATATTGGCAGCAAAACTGGGGGTCTTTTTTAAGCCTCCTGTGACACTGAACCAACGGAAGAGCAGCTAGGAGAGAAGTCATGGGGGGGGAGCTTTGGGGGCATTTAGGGACCAAAACAGGCATCTATCTTGAAATTCCCTGCAAAAGTGGGAAAATACAACTTATGGAGGGGTTGCTTTTTGCTCATTAAGAACACTCCCAAATTCCAAACACACCCAAAATGTCCAAAAATAGACCCCAGGTCAGAACCTTCAGCAATCAAAATGTTAATATAGTAGTTGCTTGCTTTGTTTCTGCCATTATTTAGGAGTGGGGAGGGGGGAAGTAAAAGTAGAAGGAACTGGGACGCTAGGAAGATGGACTGTTATCGGAGGTTAGGAATATGCAAGGTTGTACCTCTGTGAGAACCACATTTGGTGCCTGGAAAGAGGGGGGTGAGAAGTAGGGGTGAAAGTTAAGTGGGAAAAGCGCGGGCTTTAGTTTTAGCAATGCTTTGCTTAGAGTTGCATGTATGTTCCCATACATGAAATCTTTTTTGAACCAAAGTTGGGTTGCACGAGATTTTTCTTCATTGGGATTGGAACATCGCAGATCCGACACCCCATCTGTTCGGGGGGAGGCGTGACAAGGGATCCTGGCAGACCCTAATGTCTGTAGACGAGTTGAGTCACAATTTCCTACCTCCATTTAAGAAACCTCACATTGACCTCACAGAACTCTGGAAAGGTAGAGCCAGGAGGGACCACAAGCGTCAGCTAGTCCGGCCCTCTGCAATGGGCGGGGAAACCCATTACACCGTCTTTCAGAGGCGGCTGTCCAGCCTCTCCTTAAATTCCCCTGAGGTGGAGAGCCCACAGCCTCCCTTGGGAGACTGTTTCATTGTTGGACAGATCTTGCCATCGGATGTTTCCTGACGCTTGAAAAAGATCAAGGCAGCTGCCGACTGTACCTGTTATTCCTGGTCCTGGTCTCGGTGGCCTCGGAAATGGCTTCTGACCCTCCTGTCGCTTCCCTTTATGTGCCTGAACGCAGTCGCCCCATCTCCCCTCAGCCGCCTTCTCACCCCCGGTTCCTTCCGCTTGTACCCCAGCATTTGCTCATTTTAAGTTTGCCAGTAAGACCCGCAACCTTATCTTACCTACTTACCTACTGGCCTCAGGGGGACAAGCACCTCCTGGTTAAGAGAACTCCCATCCCCATAAGCTAAATAAGGAAAGTTGTGGCAATTAAGGTAACTGACACAGAAAACCCGCTTGACTGAACTCCGCAGGAGAAGCCCTGCCCGAAAGGACGGCGGCAGGCCAGCTATGGCACTTCCGCAACTGCAAACGTTACCAGAAAGGAGAGCGTGCCCTAAAAAACCCTCACTCCTCACCCACAGGCCACACAAAGGCGCCGAACGGGAACAAGCAACAGCTTCAGGAAATTGGGAGGCCGGAGCAGAGGAGAAGAGGCTCCCTTCGCCTGGCGGAGAGCCCCACGGGATGCTGCTGGCAGGCCGAGCCTCCAAACGTTCAAGAGTAGAAAATCGGGCATTTCAGACAAATTGCAATGCAGGCTTCAGACTAAAGGGGTAAAAGTCAAGGCCAGCCCATCCCCTGTCACTCAAAGTTCGCCCTTCCCTCCCTCTTGACCACAAACAGCAGCTGCCACCAACTCCGGTTTGCTGGGCATAACCAGCTCGACTTGGCTCCCGGCCCCTCCGCAGCACCACGTTCTCCGCTCTGCTGGGCTGGGGAGGGGGCGGGAGGCGGGAGGCCCTCTCTGCTGGGGCCCAGGAAGCTGCAACCTGCCCTCGGCTGGGGGGCAATGCTCGATTCCAAGTACATGATGGATCCCCAGGGGTGGTTCTGGAAAGGCGTGCCAATGGGTGCGTGAGCGAAAGGGAGCCATTCTCCCTCTTCTGCGCCGTCAGCTCTTCCGGCGTCCCCCTTCCTGGCCTCCTCAGGCATTCAGAAAGAAGGAAGGCCGCCCACTCCCTCGCCTGGGCACGGGGTCGTGGACCAAGCTGGGCGTTGAGCGGCTGGCCCGAGGGTGAGGCACTCTCTCTGGGCCAGGAGCTTCAGGCCCCCCAGCTGTGCACCCTGATCCAGGGGGTGCCGCTCAGAGCAAAGGGGGCTGGGGCCTCTGCTCGTCTCCCGCTGGGAGGAGCC